CCCCCCTCTCGCTCGATCCACGCACTTGAACCCGAACTGGAACGGGATCAGTTAGAACCACCTGGGGCACGGCCTGGAGTTCTGGGTGTGTTTTCATGTTTTCCAGATGGAACGGACGAGACAGTCACATCTTGCTTGGGCTTGGTAATGATGGTCCCGAGGCTGGCACATCACAGCCCTCTTCACCACAGGCTTTGTGAGTCTTTTCGAAACGACATGTTCTTTGTGACATGTTTCAGTCTAAAGTCTAAAGCAGGACATATGTTCAAGACATGTGTTTTCTGTGCGCCTGTTATTCCTTTCAAACGTTGTCTTTGGCAGCGCAAGCAAGACGTTTGTCATCATCCGCGTCATTTTCTCATTTGAGAGTCAGACTAAAATCGGATCTCAGTAAATGGTTCCAAATGGTCTTTAGTAGCATTTTTGCCCCAGCCTCCTCACAGCTTCCAGTAATAAATGATGATAAATTATACGTTGGATTAATTTTGAACGAGCACTGTCACTTGGAACAAAGAAGGTGGAGTTTCTTGCAGCTTGCACTGGTCCCTGTATTTGATTTCATTGTGTGAGGCAAAGTCCTTCTTCAGATGTCCCGAGTGCGATACGATTGTGATGAGCATTGATGAGGACTGCACTCCAAACAATTGGACTGCCCGTAGCATGTAACTTCTTGTTGTCTGGGCTTGTTAGAGAGGCCTTGATGCACTGCGGCGCTTCCATGGCCGGAGGCGCAATCCAAGGCTTAGGCCATTTGAGCTAAGCTGTAGCCAATTTTTTGAAAGGTCAAACTACCTCCAGTCGCTCGGATCTCGATGGCCACGGCAGAATTCATGCATTGGCGATCTAATTATGAATGTGAGTGAGGCATGCCTTCAGGTGAACCTGTGGCGCTGGATGAGCCTTGACCTTGGAATTGACATATTCACAACCCTTTTTGTATCTGCACTGCTTTGCTGCCTCTTTCTCTTTGAGGTATGGTAAGCCATTGATTGTTAGGGTGACCCAACCAACTGGTGAACGAGAAACTGTCGTACTGAACTTAGACTTGCTCCAGTGCAGAAAATGACCTGACCTGCTCCTAGATGGAGGTTGCAGTATCGAGAGAAGATTTGGACAGTGAATGACACGCAACAATTAGAACCAACTGGCTAAGAGCATCAAACAACATTAATCAATATTAATCATGTGATTTCATGTTGCAGTATTGAGGTCAGACTGCCAGATGGACAGCAAAGAACATTTGATGCGGATTCTGTTAAAAAGATCACCAGTGCTTCAGACCTTGAAAACGCCAAGCTGATGCCTTGGAGAAGGACGACTTGAACGCGTGTTCTTTAAACATCAAGACAAAGACTTGTCAGTTGTTTCCTTCTGAGCCTTTTTTTATTTCAAGGAGTTTCAAGCAATGAACTCGCCGAGGTTTTTTGATGATCTGAGTAATACTGAGTTACGTGGCCTGGTGCATGAGGCTAGGCTGCCTTGGACGTCACTACCCCAAAGGAAAAAACAGACGCCAGAATTGGTTTCAGGGAACATCCACAGCAAACCCATAGCTTTAGCGGTAAAAACTGCATGGCACTCGCTTGTGCACGCGGAAAACACCTCGCTTGTACACGCGCACGTTGGAAGAATGAGAAGCCTTCACTATAGTGGCTGCACCTGCACACATTCCCAACCGTGCAAGGATCATGTCTGCCATGAAGACAGGAGCAAACATGCAGGTCTTCAAGGTGTTGGGTTATCCAAAGCTTCAGGTTTTCGAGGCAAGACGCGTTAAGAGTGATTTGGAAGCTTCCTGGTCACACATCCTGTGAAGAACTGTTGTGAGCAGGCTTCCTTTGGGGAAGTGTTTGGCACAGTTTTCTGTGAACTGTGTTTCGTGCAAACTTTACGTGACAATGTATTTTTTCCACAGTATTGATGTGGGTGCGCCAATGGTGGGATTGCCGCTTTCCCGGTATGATATTTCTTGGCTTGGATCGCAAGTAAATAAGGCGCATACAAGAAAATATAAACTACGCGCCATGAAAGCATCGAAGGCTAACCTGCAGATTTGGCTTTTGTTTGATGGATGGTCACTGTTGAATCCAAATGTAGAGTTAGAGCGTGCTTGGAACGTTTGGAGCGTCAGAGATGTGTCGCCAATGAACCAGTAAAGATTTGCTAGTCGTCTAGCGTGCGTCAGTTCCTTCAAACCCTGTGAGGGGTTTTTGCTTGGAGTCGTGCTTGCTGTTCAATCTTTTCGGGGTTTGCTGTATGGCGGGCAAAATTCACCGGAGAAAGGTGCCATTCCAACGTGACGTAGCATACTTTTTGAAGGGGCCACACCCGAAGGGAGGAAGGTGCAATTTCAAGGCAGCAGACCTTTCGTGAACCGGATAAAACCACCCGAGGTGGAATCAGGTGGAAGGGGCCATTCCGTAGCAACATGCCTGTGTGGTCAAATGAGCCGCTGCGTGCGCATGCATGTGAGTTGACTGTGGCGTGCGCAAGCGGCCGCAAGTGAGTGAGTAAAACCATGGTTTCCTGTAGATTTTCCCTTATATAAGCCAATCCTGCGAAAGAAGGAACGGTGCGATTCTTTTTTACAACTTAGTAAAGTAAGGATCAGGCTTTACGAAAGAACGCGACAGTTGTTTTACTTTTTGATGCACATTCTCTCAATTCATCTTTTTATACACAACATTGATACTGATAGTCGCCAGGAACGGACGGGTCAAAGCTTTCAAGATAGCTGTAGTAGCACGGAAACTACTAGGTGCTGGGATGCAGATCGATTTGGTTCCGAAATGTTTAGGCAAACTTAACCTTTGGCTTTTTTGTTTCAATTATATAAACTCTTGCTACCAAGAGCTGTGTGAAAAAAAATGCTTACGTGACACAGGTGGGACAGCGGCTCTTGGAAGGCTCACAACTCTACCACAGCAGACTGGCCGAGCTGGACAGGTTCGATATGCTTAATTTAGGAATGCTCCATTTGGCTCATGTGTTCAATTCTTTTTTCATGATTTTGCATCCTTTATCCAAGCCCTTGAGTATGACAATCTCTTGTGCTGACATGACTCATTTGTGGCAGGCTTGGGGAGGTCTTCAATCTCAAGTTCTTTGACCTTGATGAAAGTGCCACGGCACGAGACCTCGACAATGCGCCATGAACCGAGCAACGAAGTTCATCGAAGTTTGACGAAGTCCAAACAACCTAACAAGCAAGGTATCGAAAACTGGCGAAAAAGATGCACCCGGACAAGAACGGTGGAACCGAGGAAGCCAAGCAAAGGCCAACATTGTGTGCACCATTGTTTTGAACGGTTCACTTCTGGGCAACAATTTTAGACTGTCTTTTTCAGTTTCTTTCGCCTGTGAGTTCTTTTCTCGGATATTCTTCACGGCAACTACTTGTATTGTAGCTTGTGTAATATCTTTCTTGCATGTTTGTAGGGGTGCAAAGATCGTTCTCCAATTTCTTCCAATGGGATCGGACGACCTGTGTGAACTCGTTCTTCCACCTGCGCTTGTGCAAAGATGCAAGGGAGACATGTGGAAAGGAGCGGTCTTGAGAAGCTCTAGACTCCGTCGAATAGCGTGAGCTGCCAGAGTATTTGTTCAGCTATGTTGCTTCTTTGACCTGGGGTCGCAGAGCAGAAGCCATTTGAACCGGATTTCAGAACTAAAGAATTTGAGCAATTTTGCTAGACACTAGTGCATCGTGGAGTAAACATGGCCTAGAGCACACGTTCGATGCACAGAATCTCTGTGTGTTGTCGGCAAACACGTGCATTGCAAAGCAATGCAACTTGCTTCTTGAACACTCCTTGTGTCACCGACGCAGTGGTTGCCACGTATGTGCCTCGAGCACATACGGTGGTGTGTGTGTGTGAAGTTGCTTCTAGGTGAAGAGAAACACCAAACTTGAAGCTGTCAAACCGGTGTTGTTGGAATTGCTCCGGCAGGTTCCAAGCAATGAAAGAGCGATATGAGGCTCTTAAGAAAAAGCTTTCAGAGGACACTGAGACGCAAAGTTGTTCAGCAAAAAAAGAGCAAAAGGCGATCCCATGTTATCACCATGTTCAGATGTGTTGTGAGGGTTTGCCCTTGTGACTTTAAAGGAGAATGGAGATCAAAAGAGTGAAGGCCTGAACAGTGAAGTGAACTAAGTGAACAAATTTATAGTTTCCTCAGTTTTCTCGCGTCTTTCCTGGCGGTGAGCTTCAGCTTCAAATCGTCACGTTGAATTCCATTCAATAGCATCCTTGGTTGGCTCGATGCTGTCGTTGGTGTTCGGTCAAACGAAGGGGTGTTTTTGGCTTTTAACAGCATGGAACAGCGTTGGCCGAATTTTGAAGATTGGCGTTCATGCCATGTTGAAGAGTGACAAGAGCGGTGCGAGTCTTAAGTGTTTTGGAGCGTTTGTTCTCCCACGGCTGCAATCCAGGCGGAGAGAGTCAGAGCCAGAAAGAAGATGGGAAGAAAGAGGTGGGTGGCAAAGGGTTAAGGTGACATTTTTGCTCATTTCAACGTAGGTGATCGTGTGAGGTTTCTCTTGACACACCCAAGATATCCCAATATTGCAGTCATGTCGGCTGGCATTGAAGTCTCCTTGTGTGCGCAGGACTCCAAGAATGAGGATGGCAAGTCAATCGAGTATGACCCTGCCAACAAGGATTGAGCAATCAAACATAAGACATGTGCTAGAGAGTCGAGAGTGTCACTATGCCAGGAGTCCATGGTCAGCACTGTGGTCCGAATGGCAAGTCAGCTGAAGAACATTGATGTTCAAATGGCCATTCTGATGAAGGACCGACATTCCAGATGCTTGTCATACAGCGACCATCATCCAGTTGCTACCCGTAGGCATCCTGTAGGCATGTGGAGTGATTCTGCTTGCAGTGTGATGTCAGGAGCTCTCACGAGTGCAAAATCCTGAAGGGACTTTGACGGAATGTGAGACCTGACGATGCGGGGAAGGACAGTCGGGTTCAGTGCACAAGACAGCCTAGCGACTTAACTATCTGACCAATAGACTCTGTAGACAAAACGAGTAAATATACTAAGCCATCTTGGAACATTCATGAGTCGTGGTGGCTATGCCACTGGACCTGCTGATACAAGAATTGCACGTGCCAAACGTTGAGCAGCGAGCTCGAGGGAGATCGACCAGTGAGCAAAAGGGCACCCATGCGAGACATCTCTTCGTCGAAGGCTGCCAGGACTCTTATTCTGTCAGATTCTCCGACTGTTTGAGCTCTAATGAACAAAACATGAAGCCCTCCAGAATGATGAATCGAATCTTCTTGTGTTTTGCTGTTCTGCTTTTGTCTTGAGCAGGGCAACCAGCCACTAAACTAATGAGGCAAGTCATGTGTTCTTTTTTGGTTCAAGCGCCAAGTGGTAGATTTGATGGATTTGAACCAGCTTCTGCTACGGAGTACTGTATTGGGTGTGTGGCCAAGATTGCTTCAGCCCAACACCAACCTGAGAAAGTTCAGTGCGCAAACCAAGAACAAGTCGACGATCCTTTAAATGTTGACAAGTATGGGAGCTCATGAACCTGACACATGAACGATATATCGAATCAATTGAAGCTTGAAAGCCAATGAAAGCATTTCGCAATGTTTCGCAATCGGCTGTAATGTGCGCCTTAGATCCCCTACACTCACTGCTACGGTAACAGTATCTTGTGTAAGCAAGTAAGCCTTGGTTTTAAAGTTTGAGTGAGGTGCACATTCAGCTTGCAATGTCCGCCGTGTCGGTGTCGACCAAGCTTTCCGTGCCATCTGCGCCGTGGAAGCCGGGAGTGAAGCCTGTGCCACGCCGCGGTCTGTCACGGATCTCTGAGATCAAAACAAGGTGCTTGACAGGGAAAAGGTTGCAAGGAAACAAAAGGAAGAAAGGCAGAAAGAATGGAAGGAAAAATGAAGGTCTAAATTAACAAGGAAAGAAATGACAAGCACTGTTGTTTGTATTGGTAAAGAAAATGTGATGTAGTGTGATGTCTATTCCCTGAGGCAAAGGCCGCAAGGGTAAACAAACTACAGATTCTGCACCCCGTTTCCCTGTGAGCTTGAGTGCCGCAGCAACTCGCAGCTCCTCGCAGGCACACGGTAGTGGCTGTTGCTGCTTTCCTATCCAGGTGCAACAAGTGAGCTTTTCAGCGATCAATCTGCGCAACCTCCGCGTCCGCAGGTGCTTTCAGCGATCTCGAGCTGCCCACAAAGCCTTGCCCAAGGGGTTTGAAGAGAACGGCCCGCAGCTTTTTAGGTCACTTGGGTGAAGGTATCATTCGGCTTCGCTGACTTGTGTTGACTTCTCCTTTTGTTCTGCAAGGCGCTTGACTTGTACCGCCGTCACATCTGCTTTGGGGCGTGGCTTGAACAGCCATACCTCTCAGCAGACTTGTATGGTTGAATGACATGTGTAACAAAATGTGTTTACCACCACTATGAACCTCATTGACCGTTTCATGTCTTCAAGAAGTGTATGAACTACTTGCCAGAGTGCAGTGCGCCCCAACCTTCAATCCTGTTCTTTGTCGCCAAGGCAGCCCCATGCTTTTCTATGATACATTCTCATCACCCCGCAGCGCAAGAGCTGCTTCTAACCCTTCCCAGTTCTACTCTTATTCAGGAGAGGGCTGCTGCTGAGCACTTTGGCTCCTAGCATCGCTAAGGCCGGAGAGTTGTGTTGTTCACTAGTCCAGAACGCCAATAATTATAGACGCCTTGGATGAACACACAGAATTCTTGTCTGCCATTCTCAACTTCACTCTTTCCACCAGGAACAATATGTATTTAAACCTCTGCTTTTACATCCCTTTGCAAATCGTTGGCTCCACGGCGAAAAGGCCGAGCACTTGGCAAGTCTGGCTTCAGAAGCCTTAAAAAATGCCCAGGGCAAGGCGTTGGGCCCGTGGGTCCGTTGTGCATTCAAAGAGGGGAGGATAGAAACAAAGCTGTGATGCGGCTTTGAGGTGTTAAACACATGTCATATGAGTCACATTAGTATACATTAGTTTGAGTCATGTGAGTGACAAGATTCTTGTTTGATGGAAAAAGAATGGTACAGGGACGTTGCAAAGATTTGCCAACACATGTTCTCCGGATTTCACGTGACTTTCAATACGGCCTGAAATTGTGGCGACAAATTGTATGGCGACTTCGACTTTTGCTCAACTCGTCTCACTCATGTCTTGACCAGCAAAATGTGCCTAGCTAGTCACATGTGTACACATCATATATATATATATATTATTCATAGGTCTACAAAAAGAGAGGAAAAGAAGACGTTAACTAACGCCCCTTCAAAGGGAGTCTCACCTTCTGTTTCAAAAGCATACAGCCAATGCTTTTCTTTGCCTAGACACTCGCGGTGTGATTCAAACAGCGACCATGAACAACATCGGGACTTAGTGTCTTGAACAAGTCACGTTCTTATCTTCCAAGCTGACCTCGGAGTGTACGGCCGGCACTCTTGGAGTGGCCGCAGCCCTTTCAGCTTCTTTTACTGAAGGATCCTGTTAGATTGAGTGATAGAGTTCTTACTTTGGTGATTTCTCGAATTCTGTGAAATCCACGAAGAACTCGGTTTCAACATGTTCGGAGCGTCAGAAGCTGTCTCTCTGAGTATTCAGGTGGCTGTCATTACAGGAGCCACTTCTGGTGTTGGACTTGAAGCTGCTCGAGTTTTAGCAGCCAATGGATGCGAATCTTAGCTGAAAGCTAAACAGAGAATGCAGCACAGCGTGAAATCCTGAAACGAAAGCAGTGCTGCTTTGCTTGCTTCATATCGAACCAGTAACTCTGAACCTACATGATTAGTGGAGCTGCTTGAGGATGTTTATGTCGCTGGGCGCACCCTTGAGAAAGCGCAAAAAGCAGCGGCTGATGTTGCTGCCTCTGCCACCGGCCAGGAGTGCTGCTTGCAAGATATTTTCGGTATTTGGTGTCTCCGTGTCGCTTTCACCACTTGCGTGGTTTGCCACTTTATGTCAAACCTCTGAACAAATGGATTAAAAGCAGGCTAATTCTTTGGATTTGTCGTACGTATGTCGTATATATATATATATTGTCACGGTAAATTCCGCAGGTCTTCCCTATGGAGCTGAACTTGGCATCATTGGACTCGGTCCGCCGCTTTGCGTCCGAGTGGGACTCCTCGATCAGGAAGAAGCTGAAGGGATAAAATCATATGAACAGCTCAGACACTCAGCACTAGACTAGTGACTAGAGTCTAGTCACTACTAGACGTGGCATGTTGAATTTTTATCCAAAGACCGACATTGCTGAAGACCGAGCGAAGTGTAGACTCGCTCAAATGCATAATGCATGAGATATTTTAAACGTTGGTTGCAAAGACTCTAGAGTTGGTTGCAAAGGAGACCGGTGGATATCCTCGCTTGCAATGCAGGCCTTGCTTTAGGCCTGAAGCCCAAAAGAGCAAAGCAACATTTTTGTCTTGGCATTGGCATCTTTGTTTTCCGAGACAGGTCAAGATCAGAAGGAGCCGCTTTTCACAGAAGATGGTACGGGCCCAATATGGAATACATGGAGCTTTGTTTGAGCAGACCTTTGTGAGGCTTTGAGCTCACAGTCGGCACAAATCACCTGGGACACTTCCTGCTGGCCAACCTGAAACCTGGACGAAAATTGTGCTACTTGTAACTCCGATGATATAGTCCAGCATTTTGCCAGGGCGCTGTAGCAGGATCGCTCTGTTGATTTTCTTTTGGGGTGATGGCATGTTGGACCGGTTAGATTCCAACATGCAGTCCATCGCAGCTGCTTTCGTTAAATACCACTTGCTGGCACCATGACTCAATCATAATTCAAAGCAAAGCATTGCTTTGACGCCTATCTTTTCACCACAACCATTTCGAATCCGTACACCGAGGATGAAGAAGCAGTTGGCCCCAGAAGCCCGTGTGGTGGTCACCGCTTCATCGGTGCACAACCCGGCCACCGGGGATCCCGGAAAGCAAGCCACGTTGGGTGCCTTGGATCATCTTGGATCAATGGGAGAAGATAATATGGAGAAGGTAGTGGAGTGATTGGACAGTCACAACAATGTAACTGTACAGTGAAAGTACCTGGACATACATGAGCTTGTTTTGAGCTTAAACCTGGTGCATGCGCAGCATCGTGCCACAGGTGATCTGTCAGGACTGGGGAAATTCATGGTGGACGGGTCGAGCTATGATGCCGGGCCTCTTGGCAAGCACCCAGCATGCTTTTTTGAGCTTCACCATTACGTGTTCAACCTTTGCTGAGGAAAGCATACAAAGGCCAGGCCTCCATGCAAGGAATGACGAAGTATGAGTGGGAGATCTCCACAATCCGATAGTGTCCAATAGTCATTGAGCTCATCAATGGAGCTTGTTTGCATGGTGGCACATTTCGAGTGACAAGCTATGCCCAACGCTTTTCAGCTTCGTTCTCAGATTCCAAGCTGTGCAACGTGCTGTTCACATTGGAGCCGGGAACCCATCGCAATCACTGACTGCCGAATTAAATCGAGTTTGTTTTGAGGTTCGCGAGGCGTTTGTTGCTTGGTGGAATTCAACAGGTGGAGTCAGAATGCCATCTGTGTTTGTGTCAGAATGAGCAAGCAAATCTGCAGTGGCTATGATGGGTAAAATGTAATTTAGTTGGCTTAGACGTGTCAAATCTGAGGAAGAGAGAGGGGTCAAACATCACGGTAAATTGCTTCAGTCCAGGCATGGCCTTCAGCAGTGCAGTGTTTGTGCAGCAATTGGCCTTTGCCCTCTTCTGTCCAGCAGGTTTGATTCCTTCAAAGACCTTCTTTCGATATCAAAACGAGGCCGGTGAGGATACATATTTATATATGTTCTTATGACCACATGAGTAAACACAACAACAAACGCCTTTTCACCGTAGCATTGGGCTCGAAGGGAATGCCCACCTGTAGTGGCTGCGAGAAGTGGTCGCTTCTCGCGGGTGCGTGCTCGGTGTGCACGTCGGCGTCTCGACTGCTTGCAGCTGCTACAGGTCCACGTTTGCCAGCGACCCAGGAGGCCCAGGCCAAGGTTACGAAAATCTTGGACGGGGCTTTTTACTCTATTGGCCGCTTACTGCCGGAGGAGGAGAGCCGGCCAGGGGAGCATCCGCTCCGAAGGGAAGCCCAGCCAAGGAGGAGAAAAAGGGAGAAGGGTCTCCCAGCGAGGTCGCCAAGGCGGAAGAGGAGCACGTGGACGCAGTTGGAGGTGAGAGCAAGTCGAGCAGGAAGAGCCCTATTAAGACCACAGGAGTATCCCCTTATTTGCAGCCAAAAGAAGAGAGAGAGGAGAAGGACAAGGGAGTGAGCACTACCCCCGAGCATACAGAGGATCGAAAGCCACTGCCACGAAGAAGAGAGGAAGAGAAGGAGTCAATTAGGAGATCAAGAACACCCAAGCGAAGACAGGAGAAAGACAAGAGGAGGCGAAGAAGAGGAGAGTCAAGATCCGCAGAAGTGAGCGGTTCAGAGGTCAGAAGGCAGAAAAGGGAGGTTACGGACTCCCAGAAGGAGAAAAAAGAGAGGTCAGAAGAAGAGGCTGCCAAGGAGTCAGCAATTGAGAGGGAACCCTATTTGAGACCAAGGCCAACTCAGAGGAAGCCGAGGTCACCGCATACCCCAGAGCGACCCCGCCAGGGAGATCGTCGGGATCCAAAGGAGGTGGTAAAGGGAAGCCACAAGGAAGTGGTTGGAGGGGCCGAGTGCCTTATTCAAGCCATCCCCGTTGGACTCAGGGGACCAACAAAGGGATTACAAAGAGAGCGTAGCAAGAACTTCAGGAAAGGAAAACACACGGCCGCGGAGGCCGTTACCGTTGGTAAGGGGAGTCATGGCTCCCAAGTTGAGAAGACCTGCTGCAGCAGCTCCTCGTGTTCGACCTCGTCGTAGGCCTGCCGGAGAAAGGGAGGAAACCCTCCCAGTCGAGAAGCTTTACTCATGGTCTGACCTTACAATGGAGAAGTTGGGGGAGCTGGACGTGATCGAACTGGACAGGCCTCATACTACAACGCCTTCGTAAAGGTGGCTGGAAGGGTGCGGGCCTTGCATCCCAGTGAGGGCCGCATGGATTTCGTGCTGACAGGCACTCAGACCGAGCGCATCATGGAGACCTTTGGCGGCGGAGAGGATAGAACAATCTCGGTTCACCTTTGCAAGGAGAATTGCAGTCAGTTGGAGACCGAGATGAAGCTGATCCACGCGCGAGGCTTCCGGGATTGCTCAGTGGCCCCAAAGGAGTGTCTCTGAGAAGGCCGTCGCGGAGCTCGATGAGTTGTCTTCCTTGAGAAGGCTTGCAGAGGAGCGTGGAAAAGGGAGGGGAGGCGAGAGGCCTCCCAAGGCTGAGGTTGCTGTGGCAGAAGGAGGTGAGGAAGACAAGAAGGCAGGAAAAGCAAAAGAAAAGAAGAGGAAGAAAGCAAAGGAGAGGAAAGCGGAGAAGGATTGGGAGGAAAAGCTGGAGGCCTTGGAGCGTGACGAGGTCCTTGAGAAGGGGCAGAAAACGGCCCGAGCAGTCTTCAGCGGCACGTGCCTTGATCCCAACGTGAGCCGTCGCAAGAGGTTGATGAAGAGAGCCAGCGAGCTAAAGAAAAAGAGCGACAAGAAGCGAAAGAGATCCAGCAGCTCAGAGGATGCAGATACCAGTTCCACGGACACTTCAGAGGAGGAAGGTTCCGAGGCTGATGGGCCCCTATTCGAGGAGACCAGACGCGTCAAGCGCCTTCATGCCCACTACCCTGGCGCCTTGACGACGCAAGCTCTGGAGAAAATGAGGGATGAACGCCCGTGGTGATCTCTACAGTAGCTCACGGGAGCAACTCGCTCCCATCTTCGCCATCTACGCGCACCAACGCTTGAAGCCACTTGCATCGCCGGTGCTCTGGCAGGAGTTGAACACTGTGGCCCAGGTGAGCGACCTCCTACTCAGGCGAGGCCACCCTTAAGGGTGGTCACTTCACTGTATCTCGACAGCTGGAACTTGTGGGGGCTGATCAGGTGGCTATGACAGAAGCAGGTGAAAACTATGAAGCGGCGCCCGCGAGGACTTCCGCAACAAGTCCCTGGGCTCCAGGCCGCATGGCGTGGGAAGGAAAGGCAACAATGAAGGAAAGAATCGAAGCAAAGCTGTTCCATCTTCAGAGCCGGCTGGCTTACAGAGAGAAGGGAGAAAAGGGGAAGAAAGGAAAAGGTAAATGGGAAAAGAAAGGAAAGACAGAGAGTTGAAAGCCGGAAGAACTGGAGAAGGAACAGCAAGAGGAATGAATGGGAGAGAGGCCAAAAGATAGTATAGCAAAGTCGCCGATCAGAGAAAGAAAAGAAAAACGAAAGATGCAATGGCAGGAGGCTGAGGCTGAGATACATAAGGAAGTGGCAGAGGCTGAGGAAGAGCAAGCCATAGAGGAGCTGCTTCGAGAGTGCCAAGAGAAGGCGTATAACTATGAGCCTGGGGGAGCGACCACTGTTGAGAAAAGTCCAGGGTTAGCTCCGGGCCGGGCAGACTATGCAGGAGCCAAAGAAGGGAGTGACTGTGCAAGCGCCTCCCAGCCTGATGATTCCGAAGTAAGGGAGGCAGGCGTGGCCGTCTCCCAATGCAGAGGATGAAGCAAGCTGGGAGTGGCGCTAGCAGTTCAAAGCAGATGGGAATGGAGCAAGACTATGGCTCCCAGTTTTGCTCGGAAGACTTTGAACGACAGCGTTTGAAGGGGCGCCGTTCGGAGGTTGACGAGATTGCGAATGTCGGGTCCTCGACTGGCTTTGATGCCGCGCCGAGGGGTGCAGCCCGAGAGAGAAGCTACCCCATTTTGGGGATTTGGAGTGTCAGAGCAGTTGGTTCAGGACGAGGCTGCGCCTTGCTCAAAAACAAGTGCCAGCAGGATTCAGCAGTCGTGGGAGACATGGGTGCCATATTAGCCATGCTGATGGAAGTTTGAACTACATGTGAACACGCGTTGCGGACAGTCCTCGGAGGGGATCTTTCCTCTCCCCCTTCCATCGGATATAGGGCTATCTGGTTACCATATTCCCTACCTTGAGGCAATGATTCGTGGGTTGAACTTGCTCGCCGGTTCGAGGAGCCGTTCCAAGGGGAATCCGAAGAAGGTTGGTCGTGAACTGGTTCATCAATTGGAGGGTGTTCTCATTGAGTGCGACTTGATAAAAAGAGAAATGGGATCACCTTCCCTTCAGGGAATTCTTCCGCACCAAAACCCTCGATTATTCTGGCGAAGAGATCAAGGTCGCCCGGCGGTTCACTTGGCAGATGGTGGAGGCTGCCCTAGCCCAAGGTGTAGGGAGTTTGATGTTGACGGACTTCTGCGAACAAGGGACCCTCGAGTATGTGGTCAACTTTGAGAAATGTTTGCTCCCGCCTCAGGATCAATACATTGGGAAGACTCCCGCGATCATGGTGGACCACTGCGACTGGGCCGAGGTCTGCCGTGGGCTGATCGGCTGATTGCTCGGGGTGTCTGTGGGTTGATGAAGAGGGAAGAGCTACACCACATTAATGGACGCCGGGGTAGGTTCTGATGGCGTTGAGTTTGAAATCTGTAGATTGATCATGAACCTGGTCCCTACCAATTCGATCTGCCGTAACCTTGTTGGTGACACATGCACTTTACCGACTGTTGTGGGGTTGTCGTCTATTGTTCTTGAAGACGACCAGCTCCTACTGACATCGTCTGAAGATATACGGCGCTTCTTTTATTTATTCCAGACCCCACAGAAGCGGTGGCCCTACATGGGCTTTGCAAGGGAGGTGCCCCCTGAAGCCCTCCCAGCGGGTCATGACGGAGCCGGTTGGCGCCTTGTATGTACATCGTCGAGTCATTTCCCAAGCATTGTACGCCGACGCAGGGCTGGCCACCAGACGCCAAGAGATCAGGCGCGATCGCGTCAGCGGTAGAGCAAATCACCTGTTTCGGGTGTACCTCGACAACTTCGATGAGTTGCGGAAGGTAGATCGACGAGTCGCAGGGTTGATTGAAGGCACGCCATCGGATTGGACCTTGGCCATTCGAGAAACCTACACTACATTGGGGCTACCACGCCATCCAAAGAAAGCAGTCGAACAGGCCAGTGGGGCGGAAGTGCAAGGAGCCTGGGTTGACGGGAGTAAGGGCGCAGCCACTCCCAAGTATTCCAAAGTTGCTCGCTATTTGGGATTGGCGTGTGAGGTAGTCATTTCAGGAAAGGCAACCATGAGAGAATTGCAGGTGATAGGCGGAGGTTTTGTTTACATTGCCATGTTCAGGCGTCCTTTGCTTTCTGGGCTGAATGCAATCTGGAGGAAGATCACCAGCACGAAGGAGTTGGGTGGTCACGTCAGGCAACCTTTGGGGAAGGATGTGGAGCTTGAGCTGATCCGTTTCATTGCCCTCAGCCTGCTGGCTTTCATGAACTTTAGGTTCCCGGTGTCAGAGTATGTGGCGGCCAGTGACGCGACAACCGGGGGTGGTCTGTGCGTGTCGCGGGGAGTCAGCCCTTATGGAATGGCAGCATCGCAGGCTGAGGCCCGCGGGGATGTCCTGACCCCAGACGAGATGGATCAGGTCCTTGTCGTCTCCTTGTTCGACGGAATAGGAGCTCTGCGGTTGCTTTGGATTGTTTGAGAGTCCCCGTAGCTGGATACATATCAGTTGAGATTGATGATGCCGCCAGTCGGGCGGTCGAGTCTTTCTTCCCGGACGTGATTAGGATCCAGGACGTTGCGCAGGTCAACCTTGAGATGGTGGCGGAGTGGTCCATGAGGTTTGCTTCGGTCTCCATGGTGATTCTGGGGGCCGGACCGCCCAAGGCGTGTCGGGGTTGAA